CCTGTCAAGCAATGCTGTCAATTAACGTTCAAATCCACGTGGAGAGAATCGGTATCCCCCCAGAAAATTGAGGTTATGCCGCAAGTTCTTTTGATCAAGCCGGAGTAACTCACGTCAGTAATTAGTGTGAGTATTCGAAAACATGGCTGTCATCGGCAGAAGAGATGGCCCGTAAATCGGAAGACGCCAGGAAACGGTCGCAACTATTAATTTCGTTCTCATGCGGAAACCAGGGGGTGAGAGGGGTAGACAGGGGGTGGAGAAAATATCGACGAGACACACATACAAAGAGAGCAACTACAGGGAAAGGAGAAATACAGCCCCTGGGTTTGAAGCAGATTACTGTCTACCAGGGGCCTATGTGTACCCATTTCCAAATCGGTGTGAAGGGAGGTTATTTGTGAATGTGGGTGACGCCCGCGATTATCTCTCTCTATTTCTCTGTCCCTTTTTACCGAGTTAATAATCATCAAAAGTCACTGTGTTTGCCGAGGGTCGACCCTTTGTACTTCGCCACGCGTATGCTCCTGACGCTAATATGACTCCACTGGGATTTATTACGAGTTATTATTTTCATGTTGGCATCCTCCAATTTCATCCCCCCAAACGTCCGCCGATGTGCACACAGATTTGTATTTTCTGTTTATCGAGTGAAAAGTACTAATTATTTTCCCTAATTATGGTATAATTGTAAATACGTGTTATTTATTCGGGGAAAAATATCCCAGACAAAATTTCGTCAAGAAAAATCTTCCAGAAAATCAAATGATTTACCTTCTCCAATTTTTCAGACGTGATCATCCCGGGGCCAATTTTTTCGTCATTACAGTAGCTGTTTTTACGTTTTAATTATTTCGTTGTTAATCTGACAAAAATGTTCTAAATTCTTTCAACAATTCTCTCATCCCTATTCCGTGGCTCTCCCATTGTCTCCTTTCGATATATTTCTACGAGCCAGCGGACTACAATGGGCTCTTTGAAATCTAAAAAATCGCCCCATTAAGACAATACTCGGTGTCAAAATACTTGGGCCATACGGCTAATTTGTTTTTACTCGACAAAAACCATAACGTGACCTCAATTTCCCCCATTATCCCATACAACCCTCACTCACACGAGCTCCACAAATTCCACACGTCATAAATTTCATTTGGCGAGTCACTGCGATTTTAATTGCCCTCACTCATAATTCCTAGTCACTCAAAAATAGATTCATCAAAATACTAATAAAATTAAATATTAATTATCAAAATAGGTAAAATAATAGTGAATATTAAAAAAAATTTTCATCACTAAAAAATGCCAATCAATTTGTGAAAAATCCCAAAAAAATATTTTTCCCCTGAAAATAAAAACAACTTACCCCCTCCCAAATCGTCACGATAAAATTCTCACGTTCCGTTCAATTGGGATCATGAAGACACCTCGTCTAGAAGACGATCCCCCCGCTGGAGGCCCTGATTTTCCGCTCGTTCACACCTCTTTTTCCCCGATAAAAGGCGCAAAATCGTTTATCCGCGGTTTCGAATGTTATTTGTAGCACATTAGTATTGTATTGAGATGGGAAAGGGGGCGGAGGGGTCTAAAAGGGGGACTACAGGGGGTGTGGGAAGAATGGGGTGGGGGCCCAGAGCGTTGGAGTGTTTAAGGGTGATTACACGCGACGACAGGGGTGGCTTTATTGGAGGAACTCGTGACCCAGGGATTCTCAACTCAATAGATAAAACAACAGTAGACTGGATCCGATTACCGAGTTTATTCCATGAGACCAGTAAATTCATTTTACGTACAGAGAAAACCCTGAAAGGCAACAGTTGCCCCCATGCGGTGAGATACCATCAGCCAGATCATTATCAAAATGCTTATCTAACGTAGCATCACCGGGGGGAAAACAGTTTCAACTGATGGAACTATTAATGCCTGCAATTAATTTATCCCCCTCTACCTGGAATGATATACTGTTTCAGTTGGAATTGATTTGGGTGGTACTGATTTTATGAGGGTATATTGGATGGTTTGCGGAGGGCAAATGAGAACCCAACGGCGGAAGATTGAATTTGGTGAGACAGTTTGACGTGGGGGTTGTGGATAAAAAGATATGTTGAATAATAGAGCTGGCAGGACCCTTCGGCAAACAGTTGCTCTCGTCTTTGACGCTTGTAACACCGCACGGTATTTGGTATCTTCGCTTTATCATTGGAAGAATGACATTTTCCTGGGAATTATTCTTGGGTCGCCGGGTACATTCATGGAGATCGGTGAATTCATCTCTCGGTGGACCGAATCTCTGATTGGTCTTTTTGAGATTTGACCAGAGGCAGTTGCTTGGAAGATCTTCATTATAAATTATCTCTCCATTATTCCCACTGATTGGCTCGAGGGAAAATCTTATTTTCTTTATCCATAAATGTACGAATTGAAAAATTTTTTAAGATTCTTCATAAAAATAGTCGAAATTAATTACCATAGGAGAAGTTCACTCAAGCTCATACGCAAGTGTTTATCTGTAGTGAATAAATCTTGGAATATTTATTAACAATAATTGTTTGTTCTCACTCTAATTAAGTTGAAGAGGGAATGGTCGATGAATTGAAAGAGAATTGTTTAGATCTCGTTGGTTTCTACCGGGTGGCATCCACTCGTATCCCCAACAGATAAGCTAACACTCAACCATGAAATTCGTTCAGACACATCAACACTTCCCAACTCTTTTCACCTCCACTATTTATTTCTCATTCCAACTCAAAATGATCACGTGAGAACACCCCGAACAATAGATGAAAATCTCTTAATGCGTACCCATGGCATTGCATTGAGTTTAATCACTGCTGCGTGTCGATCGGTCTTGAATACCATTTCACGACAATAATCCACACACAGGATAATACCAACCGGTGTTTACAGCCTCTTCAGAGAGAAGTGAGGAGACAAAAAAAAACGAGACGAATAATAAAAAAGGAGTTTGGAAAATGTGATTTTTTCGCGCGATACCGAGGATTCGGGATGCACTCTCGAGTGGTTGCGCCTTCTGTTGGGTTTTTGTCGGTTGGACAACTCAATGTGTCAGATAACAATGTAACAATAGCTCGTAGAGTGCTCCAGTGATCAGTGATTCGCAACATCACAACAACTTCACCATTTGACAAATTTTCTTTCTACCAAATCTCGAGGTAGACGGGAAATATTGACACCTCATTTTCCGTCAATCCTCGACGAGTTAAATCCACCTTAAATGAGTTTATTCCTCAGCAATTCCAATCCGTCGGAGGAGTGAGACCGGCTCCACTGCCGTCGGAGGTAAATACCCGCAGTAATGGATTTACGTCTTAAAATGGTTAAGTCGTGTTACAGGAGTTCTTTATATTTCCGCGATAAAGCGAACATCAAAACAGCGACATTGGCTCCTTGCCCTCAGCTCATACTCCAAAGATATCCAATACCCTCTTCTCAGTGGTTGACGACGGCTGTCCCCCTGGGGGTAGCGTCACTGCACTATTCCTTCCCTCGACCTTGTTCCCATTCCCTTTCACGATAACAGTGTCATCCCCCTCCTCGAGACAAGAGGACAAAGTGAAATTCGCTTATTTTCCCATCATTCCAACGTGGCATCTTGTCCCGTTGTCTTTTCTCATCCAACGATGCGCCAAAAGAAAATTGCCTCTTCATAAATAGAATATCGTCCTGATGAGCTTGGGAAATATCGTCTACAGGAACGCGCTTGGCTTTGTCTCCCTCACTTCCTTCCAAACCAACCCCCCAAACCCCCCAATCCCCTCTTCACCCACTTTCTTTATGACTTACACTTTACTCGTCACCCCCCACGATGATTCCGCCTTTTCAACTTTAAACGCCAAGACGTACAACTCTATTGAATTTACTCAGGAGTTATTATCGAAATAATATTTTCCCGTTGCTCGGGTTATTTTCTTTTAAAATGACTTTCCAACGGGAAAATATAAGATTCCGAGTTTGACGACAAAATGCGACAAGAAAAATTGAATTATCCGTTGATGGTTTAAGAAAGGAAGTTTAGCCCGTAATAATCTCATCATAATTTCTCCACCCCTCATTCCCCATCGCTCCATCCAGAATGATTGCGAATCATGACGAAAGGAGAGAATAAAAAGGATGAAAAAAAGGAAGAGAAACAGCTTCCCTTTTAAGCCGTTAATGAAGCCTGCCAATAGCAGGCCATGTTACAATAAAGAAATCAACATGGCCGACATGAGGAGTACCCCTTCCATGTGGCAGGCGTCCGCGAACCCTCACTTTCGATTTTGCCCTCGAGCTTGTTACCCTCCTTGATGCCCAGCCAGGGTGTGCAGCAAGTCTATCCCCCTTCTTGCCTTTTCTTACTAAGCTAGTTTAGGGGTGGACCAAACCCGCTCCGCCCCAGACGTTTCGCCTCCAGGGTGTATGCTTTTCTCGCGCCCATTTCTCCTCACTCTTCTCCACCCCCCAACATCCCCTTATTTCTTTTCTCTCCAAGTAGCAGAACACAAAAAAAACCTCTCACTACTTATATTACCCACTTCCACGGACTCCTGTCTCGTTATATCCTTCAGCGTTTTCCCCGACTCCCCGATTTTCCCCAGTCCAATATAACCGAAAAAAAAATCCCAAGAACAGACAAACCAGGGGAAATAACCTTCCAAGATGAACAGGTTATGATTAAGTGTTTTAACCCCTCGATTACTCAGCGATAATGTAGCTTTGGTGGTAGCAGTGGTCACTTTAAGACACCAATTAGGAGATCAACGAGATACCGTGCGTCAGGGTAATGCATTTCGACGCTGAATCCTTGGAAGGAGCTACCGTTTCGGTTGCACTAATGACTCTTGATGACTGCACGTGTTTATTTCAATGGGAAGAATGCTGGGTTGGGGGTTCTCGAAGTGAATGGGGGCTTTAGCAGCCGGTTTCAATGCTAATATCGGCATCTGGAGGAAGACTACCCAGGAAATTGGTGGTTATTGATTGTGGGTTTTCTTTTGTTACAGGTGTGGTTTCAAAATAGAAGAGCAAAATGGCGGAGGCAGGAAAAAATGGAAGCGGCTAGACTGGGAATTGCTGATTATCATCATCATCCCGCTGCTATTAGGTAGGTTTTGAGGAAGCTGGTCGATTGTTTGGGAGGCGATGAACGAATATTTTTGTTGAATTGTGGGGTGTGTGGTCTTGGTATGATCTTCGAATCAACTGATGATTTCAGAAATCACGGGGCCCCTACCCTAGGTCTTCCTGGTGACCCCTGGTTGACACCACCGGGTCTCCTGACAGCTCTTCCTGGTTTTCTGGCAGCACCTCACACAGGCTACCCTAGCTACCTAACTTCTCCAAGACGATTGCCATCACCACCGAACGTGTCGTCAACCGGAAACGGAATTCCAGGTACAAAAACACCCGTTAGCGTCAGACCCTGATCAATCCCTTGACGATGATTTCTGTAGATCAGTACTAATCACTCACAGTTCGTTTATATTTCCCCTAGGATCGTTGAACGGCGGTCTTTCCGGCATAACTTCCATCTCCCATGTGCAGCCATCACCGAGTCCACCGGGTCATGATCCACGGACAACTAGCATTCAGGCCCTGAGGATGAGGGCCAAGGAGCACGTGGAGAGCCTCACTAAGGGCCTCCAGATGGTCTGAAATACGGAGGATACCGTTATCTCGGACACACGGACACAACAATTTCATAATCCAGATAACATGTCACAGCTCTTCGGACCTCTGTCCTTGAAAATTCAGGAGACGTTTCTCCAGTCGAGAGTTGCAATGTGCAATAAAGAGAAACGAGAAGAGTTACCTAAGAAGTAGCTCAAATAAATGAACTACACTCAAAAAAAAAATCAGATTCATTTTGAGTCGCAACTTGTAATGAGAGTTTATAATTTTTTGTGTTTATTTCAGGAAATCCTTGAAAGTGGGTGATAAATTTATAAATTCCTTCATTCTTTTGGTGGAAAAATTTGATTTAATTGAATTTAATTTAATAAAAAGCCGTAATAAATAATAAACCCACCATGAGAGGGCACTAAATAAACTGACAATTAATGAATAAATATTTTTCCAATGAAAGAACTTTCGGAAGTTCGGAATTCAAAAATCTCTGCGGAAAAAATATCCAAAGGAACTCGAAAAAAAATCTAAGTGAATTGTCTTGAGTGAAGACTTGTGAAATCTCGGACTATCATATTTTTTTGAGTGTATTTGATTTGATTCTCATGAAAGACAATGGAGAATGTAGACATCCGCGATGAGATTATAGATTTGTTGAGTGTGTTGATTATTTCACGATGATGAAACTGATAAAAAATCGAATCGCTACTATTAGAGGGTCTAAATATTATAAATATATACATATTATAAATATATAAATTTATATGTAGATTACATTGACGTTTGAGCGAAGGGAGTGGAAGACCGAGAGGTTCAGGGGAATTGAAGAGTTGAATAATAATTGACAACAGTGTGACAAATTGAGGTGCATTCACATAACAATATCATGCAGTATTAATAAGTTATAAGGCGACAAATGTGAAACGTTGAAATTCTAGTGTTACGATTATTTTTCATTATGTTCACTGAGTTGAGGCTAAATTGAGGACAACCCTTTCAATTTGTATCCCATGTCGCTATTTCCAACCAAACATCTATTTGTATATATTTGCTCGTGATGAAATAAAAGAAGAAATTTGATGTACATATTTAAATAAACCGTCTCGAATCATTTTAATCACACAATGAATTTCTAATTCTCCACCCGAAAATTTAAAATCAATAAATCCACTTGGGGGATGGGAGTGTATCAAAGAGCCGAAGAAAAAGAGTGAATATACAGAAAGGCAGAGGACAGTGTTTGTCGATGAATTAGCATATCAAAGGATGATTTTAATTAAGACTCAATTAATTTCGCCCGGTGGAGTCTCAGCCATTTGATTATTGGTGGCTCTTTTTCACTTTTCACTTTAATTACGATGAGAATTCCCTTAAGCCCCACGGGACTGGGAAAAAAAAAGAGGAGGAAGACAATTGAATTGATCAGCCAATCAGTCCGCGAAAGGAGCAGTTTCAATAGAATTCAAATGAATTTAAGATGAAAAAACATTAGGATGGAGATAAATAAGAGATTGGGGGGACCAATGGCTAGTGGGGATTGAACAATTGATTTCGAATGGTCACAGGGATCATTACGTATTCCAATCGTTGCGTCGGGGTGAGAAAGGGGATGGTGGATCCTCAAGTGTTAAAAGAGAGACAGATCGAACGAATCAGCGTGATGGTAGAAGGGGTGGAATTGGTTTAAGAGGGCCGTCAGGGCTAAAACTCACCCAATAAAATGGTAATTTCTGTTTGTGAAAGGTAACCATGCGAGCGAGTCTGGAAATTCGAGTCTGTGCGTAACCTCTCCCTAACTCCTAAGACCAATATTAATGCCAGTTGGAATGATTCTGGGGGACTTTTATATGCACCCGGCTCGCTCAACTATTCGACAGTGATATCGTTTGTTAGATCTCAAGTGTCACGTCTTACACATGATTAAACGGAGGAACGAATTTATTTTCACCCGGCACATGACGGAGACTTGATATCACATTTTATCGGGTTTTAGCGGTAAATGACGGGTCGAGTTCGATTCAGGGACTATTATTCGCCATTTTGTCGTGGCATTTCAAGTCTTTCAGAGGCTCAAGACTCGCGAATCTATTATACACAAGTCTTGTGATTTTAAAATTATATTTTTCACAGTCTGCCATTGAAATTCTCAAACGCGTTAACTTAAAATGTATTCAAGTCGTATTTTCAGATTTTTCAAAGTCCAGCCTCGAAAATTAAACTTGAAAATTTCATCTTGAGTTCAAAGTTTTGTTAATTAATTTTGAATGGGATAGAACTTCAAAAATTATATAGTCCGGGGTTATTCAGTTAAATGTCGAGTCAAGTTACATAAACTGGCTATCAACAACCGTCTTAAAAGCTGTTTGGCATTATTAATTAAGACCAAAGACACACTGAGTTACCCAAGTACATAAGCAGAAATAATATTTACTCGGGCGTTCATTAAAGGATTCGTTCGGGCGGTGAATGCCGAGTGGGAGAGGAAGATGGCGCCTCAAACGAGCCGGATTCTCATTAAAATAACCGCACAAGGTGGGGGGTACAGAGGGCAACCACCCCCATCCAACCCTCCCCGCCTCCCAATGGGTCTTGCCTGTGTAATGGCAGAACCACATAGGGATAATTACGCATTTGTAAAAACCTCCCGGTCGCTGAAAAATTTAAAGCCCCTGCCGTAAATTTTTGTTCATCTTTTTTTAAACTACAAATCGACGTTTTAATTCCAATTATTTTTTCCATCTCCAGTCGCGAAAAGCAGATTTTTTTTCATCAACTTTTCAATTGAATTTACAAACGTAATGGAAAAAAGAGGAAAAAACAGTGAACTACTGGCGCAATAAAATCGCGAACAAAAATTTTTCATTTCGACTGAGTTAATCTCATCGCGGACTCTAATTGTCATCGCTCGTACGGGGGATGAAAAAGCGGTGGGAAAAAAAATTCGAGAGAGCATGGGAATGAATCGTAGCCGATCACAACTGGTAGAAAAAAAAAGGATAAAAAAAATACGCGATGTGCAAACGTTCGCGAGTGGTGGACGGATGGAATATCTGTATGTGCGTTGGCTATACCGGAAAATGAGTATCGGACAAATACGGCATGATTGTTTTTGCCGCTAATTGCACGCTTTTTCATGGAGGCTAAACGAGTGGGGGCTGGCCCGCCAAACTCGCGGTAATTTGCATTTCAAAGACTCATATAATCGGTGAATAGATGAGGGGAAGGGAGCGAACGACCGTTATTTTTCGAGTTGGCCATTGGGCCCTTCCGCCCTGTCCTTTTTCAAAAAATCTTCATTCTTCCGATAAATCGATATCTCATGGTAAGGATCTAGCATTTTTATAACATTGTCTCGGATTATCCATTTCACCAAAATTTTCCTAATTATTCAATTTTTAATGAATGTCAGAAATGAAATTTACAGTTTTCATTGATTTCTCCTTTTTTCAATTTACCAATTCCAAAATTCGTGAATATTTGAAGTGATTACAATTTATATTAATAAATAAAATAAACGTCATAAATTGTTCACCGGATCCACCAAAAAAAAAAATCATTCCTGCATTTTATGATTCTACATTTTATCCGCACTCCATAAATTTTCCCCATTCTTCATTAAGATCTTTACGAAAAAAAATTACTGAGGTAAAAATGAGTTTGAATACTAGTTTTGCTTTTTTTTCAAAATTTCTCTCTCCGTGAGAGTTTCGGCGTAATTATTGCCGCGGGATTTTTTTCGCGAAAATCCTTCAATCGTCGCAGCAAACGATGGCAATTGCCAAAACACATTTTGGTACTCGCTATTGAGGTGATCAGGGGGGGATGAGGGGGCGATGTGGGGGTGATGAGGGGGTGATGAGGGGTGGTACGTAGACAGGTGGATTGTGGGATAGATGGGGTGGTATGGGGCGTATTTCGCTTCCTGTACCGGAGTGGCCCGCATTTGATTTTATGCAGTACGCATTCAGGGCGGTTTCCGCGTACGTTAATTATCACTGACCACCTACAGGGCCCATTACGTTCCCAATCGACCCCTTAATCGACGCATGATTGGTGTACTAATTGATTGCTACTCTGTAATTATAACAGTGCACTAGTTGTGGAAATGATATCGGGGGTGGGAGTCAACCGAAGAAATTCCGAAATTGTTAAAAATATCCAGCTAAATCCACAATTTTTTCCATCAATTCATAATTACATTGCATTTATAATTATTAACAATTATAATCTTGATGATGAATTCATATTTTTCCGGAAAAAGTTGGAAGTAAAAATAATTTCATTCAAAATATCGGATATCGAGGAAGAAAATTTCGGGGAGGTTAGATTCTAAGATTTGATGATAACGATAATTAATGACAAGAATAATTTATACAATTTATTAATTACGTAATTATCTCCGCGGTTTCTTTATAATCGTGTGATTTTTAAGAATCACTAGTTTTTTTAAGTCTCAGGTATTTGTTTAGATGGAAAAAAAATTGTTTGCGATTTTCTCTCATCCCTGAATATATTTACAACTTGAATAATTATTATATACGTGGATTTATCGACGAATGATTACTCTCAACCCCGAATGGAATCAGTGCTGCCGCACCGAAGGGCGGATCGGAATCTCGAAATATCTCGACTTACCCCTGTCGATAACTATACCCCTGGGATAATTTCGATAGCCTCGACAGGTAAAATAGGCGCCTCAACCCGAAAAATTACGAATATAAAACCTGATAATTAATTATTGAACGATAAAAACGTATTTTTTGTGTTTTTTTGGTCGTCGAGTGGAACGAAGTGATAGAATTTATTTTCAAGGGAAATAAATTCCCTCCCCAATGAAAATCCCATCATCGAAAATATCAACAACTACCCGTAATTCAATGGTAATCAAATAATCGTTAATATATCCAAAATGATATAATGAAATTTCACGCTGAGTACAAAAACGGGGAACGTTGAAACGTATAAATTGAGTTGCCAGGGGGTGAGGACAAATTGCTCGGTGCTCCCCTTCAACACATGTCATCTGTTTTATCATCGTAATTTAAGGACCCATTCAGCAAATCAGTTGTGATAACGATATTTGAAAAAAAAAAATCGGGAATGGAATTGTTTGGGATTTGAACGGGTGACACATTTGACCCCACGCGGAGAAAATCTTCAGAAATTTATTCCGAGTCTCATTACTCGAACTAAAATATTTAACAACTTCTAATTTCTAATTAAAGTCTCAAATCCTCTTAAAATCTTCACTCGAGACTCGAAAACTCAAATGCATAATTTTAAAAGTCTTGATTTACTCTCAATTTAGATTTACATAACTCAGATGAGACTTTCAAGTTTCAAGTCCTCATAAATGCCAACTTAAGACTTTGAGACTCAAATGAGAATTCTCAAAATTCTCCAATCTTTCCCAAGTCTCAGATTAAGGCGTCTGACGTCAAGTGAGACTTCAAGTCTCAGTTCAAGATTTAAAAAATTTCTAAACAAGAGTTGCGTATTTTAATTTGGTGTTATATTTTCCGAGTAAATAATAGATATTCGATAATGAAGGCTGGTTACTTGAGATGCCACCCGAAGATACCTGTCCAGATCGGAAAACCTCTTTTTTCCACTTGACACGTTGAATGGTGTTAGTTCTAACGCCTGAGGCGTCCGCACCGATGCCATTCAACAGCGAGAGGAAAAATCGGTGAAGAAATATCTCTTGCCTTTTCTTACCCGACACATATAAAGTCCCAAGGAAAGAGAGAGACAGACGCACACAAGGGATTTTCAGGAGTTTCGCAAATTCGGTTCATTTGTCACATTGTCAACGGCTTACCGAGAAATGAGACCCTCTTGAGTGAAATCGCACCCAAAGACGCTTGAAGTTTCACCGACGCGACGATGAGTGGTTTGAAAAAGTGAGAGAAACGAATCTAATGCATTTAGAGGAGGTTTTCCACGGAATTTCGGGGTATACCTTCGTCCAAGATTTTCTGACACTTCAAACGCCCTTTATAGTCTTCTCGAGTAGCTCCCACTCCGTGGCGTATGTATCGAAATGTATCGAA